TTTTTTCTTCACAGATGCATCCATACTTGCTGAGCTTTTCCAGCAACTTATGTTTTTTTTTGTAAACCTTGTATTAAATCTTTAAATACTAACTTCTGCTTGTCATACTTTTGAATGTATTTTCCCAATACACCACAACCAATTTAGCCGTTACTCTTTCACTACATTGTTTTCAAACTGAATGGAAAATTCAGTGATGTTTTTGCCACTTTGAGGGGAGAGGTTGGTGTAGTTATAATGTCACTGAAGGAGTATTCCACATTTCCAGGTTAATGATGTGGGAACATGGGTTTAAATCCCATCATGGCAGATGGGTAAATTCGAGTGGAATAAAATTCTGGAATTAAAAGCTATCCTAAAAGCTCCCAAGTAACCACTGTTAATTGATATAAATACTCATTGGCTCATGAATGTCCTTTTGGGAAGGAAATTGCCATCTTTAATTGATCTGGTCCTCTTGAGACTCTTGATGTTGTTGACTCTTAACTGCCCTCTGAGTAGTTAGGGACGGGCAATGTATATTGATTGATTGATTGATTGATTAATTTATTTATTGTCATGTACTGAAATACAGTGAAACGCTTTGTTTATGTGCAGTACAGGCAAATCATAGTAAGCATAGGATGTACAGGTCAGAAGACTTAGACAGAGTACTGGATGTCTGATGTAAAAAAACTTTACTCCAAAGATTATATGACAAGATGATTAATTAGTGATTTCTCGCACAGGGACACACAGCCATGCTGAATAGCGGAGTTTGGCATCCAAAAATCAAGGAGGAATTTGTTACTTGTTCAAATGACGGGTAAGAATCTGGAAATATCTTAAGACCTACAGTGGTTCAGTTAGCAGCTGCAAAGAGAAAAAGGAAATAAGCTAGAAACTAAAGTTGCTTTTTCTCTTTGCAAGTGCTGCTATTTACTGCTATGTGTGGTGTTGGAAAGAAGGTGTGACAAAACCTGGAACAAATGTGTGTTATTTATTCATTCATAGAATGTGGACATTGTCGGCAAGAGCAGCAACTGGTGTTAAAATCTGACAGGACTGTGGATGCTGTGAATCAGAAACAAAACCAGAAATTGCTGGAAAAGCTCAGCAGGTCTGGCAGCATCTGTGGTGAGAAATCAGAGTTAACGTTTCGGGTCCAGTGACCCTTCCTCAGAATAGTTGTTGAGGAGCCACAGCTTTGAGCTGCTGCAGTCCATGTCATGATTGTGTTGCCTCAGTGCTATTTTGACAAAGTTCTACAATCTTAATCTAAAATTAAGGAACAGCAATATTGTCCTAAATCAGGATGGTGTGTAACTTGAAGGGAAAAATTGCAGGTACAAGCGTTCCTGTGCTTCAGTTTGCCTGAGACTTAGAAGGTTAAAGAGTGACTTAATTGATATTTTCAAGATGCTAAGGGACAGGCAGACAGGGGAGACAGAAATGATCTCTATTGGTTAGAGAGTCTTGGATGAGAGGGCACAGTCGAAACATGAATTTACCAGGAGAGGCGATGACCTAATGCTATTATTGGTGGGCTCTTAAACCGAAGACCCTGGTCGTGTTCTAGGGACATGGGTTGAATCTTGCACGGCAGACAGTGGAATTTGAATTCTATAAAAATCTGGAAGTAAGAGTCTAATGATGACCATGAATCCATTGTTCTGAGGAAGGTCACCGGACCCGAAATGTTAACTCTGATTTTTTTCTTGCAGTAAGAGCAATAATTGTAAGATTAGTTAATTTTACAGAATCAGAGTCACAACTGTTATGGTGCAGAAGGAGGCCAGTCAGCCTATTGTGCCTGCATCAGTTGTATTAGCTAGTTCCAAACTCAATACCATTTTGATCCAAATAATCATTTGATGTCCTTCGAAATGCTTCAATTGAACCTGCAGCACCACTTTCTGGACGGTACATTCCATATCCTAACTACTTGCTCAGTAAAAAGGTTACTTCTCACATCATCCTTACTTCTTTCTTACATCACTTAGCATCTGCACTGTTTCATTCTTATTTTCTTTTGTAAGTGACAACAGCTTCATCCTGTCTACTTTGTCCAGCCCACTCATGATTTTGAAAACCTCTGTCAAATCTCCTCTCTGTCGCCTTTTCTCCAAGGAGAACAGTCCCAACTTCTGCAATGTATCCTCATCTCTGAAGTTTCTCATTCCTGGAACCATTTTTGGAAATCATTACTGCACTGTTTCTATTTTATAGAAACAGTGCAGTAATGATTTCTATTTTATAGAAACAGAGGAACATTGAAAATAGGAGCAGGGTAGACCATTTAGTCTTTCAAGCCTGTTCTGCCATTCTTGATGATCATCTAACACAATGGCTTGTTCCCAGTTTTCCCTTTTATCCTTTGATCCCTTTAGTGCCAAGTGCATACAATGTTTTCTGCGGGAGCGAATTCCTCAGGAACGCTACTCTCAACATGAAGAAATTTTTCATCAACTCGGAAACAGTTTATCCCTTATCCTTCGACTGTGACCTGTGGTTCTGGACTCACGCACTATCAGAAACATCTTGCATCTACCCTGTCTATTCCTGTTCGAATTTTATAGGTTTCCAAGAGATTCTCCCCTCCTCCTGCATTCTAACCAGACAAATCATTACCTTGCATAACTACATTAGGGTAATAGAACAGAATTCAGAATATAGTGTTACAGCGACAGAGAAGGTGCAGAGAAAGATCAGCACTAATTTATGAGAGGCCCATTCAGAAGTCTGACAATAGTGGGGCAGAAGCTGTTCTTGAATCTGTTAGTAGGTGTTTTCAAACTTTTGTATCTTCTACCCAATGGAGGAGTGTGGAAGAAAGTATAACCAAGGTGGGAGGGGTCTTAATCGTGTTGACTGCTTTCCTGAGGTAATGGGAAGTATAGACGGAATCAATGGAAGGAAAGCTGGTTTTTGTAATGGATTGGGCTGTGTTCATAACTCTCTGTTATATTTTGCTGTGAGGCTTGCTATGTTGCATCTCTAAAAATTGATAAGAATCATTGTGGACATACTGAATTTCCTTAGCTTTTTGAGGATGCACAGGCATTGATGTACCTTCAACATGGATGGACCAAGACAGATTGTTGGTAATATTTACTCGTGGTAACTTGAAGCTCTTGACCACCTTCACCTCTGTTTAATGTAGTGTTTGAAAGCAAAATGCATGGATCAGCTACGAGAGTTTTAGATTGAGAGAAGGCCTACTTGAATGAGATGAGACAAGAGACTGTCCACAGCAAACTGAGAAAATCTGCTGATGAGTGAAAAGGCTGAAGAACAGTGGAGGATATTTAAAGAAAAATTTAGCACAATATAAAACCAGTTTATACCCCTGAAGGGAATGGCTCCACTTCAAGCAAAAACAGTCATGAACAACAAGAGTTAAGGGGCAGCATAAAACTAAAAGGAAGAGCTTACAAAAATGCAAAAAAACGGCACAGATCCTGCTAAATGAGAAAGATACAAAGTCTGGCAAAGGGCCACAAAGCAGCTTATGGGAGCAAATAAAAAGGATTTTGGAAAGAAGCTCAAAATCAATAAGAGGAAATTCCATAGTTACGTAAAGGGAAAGTGGGTGGTCAGGAGCAGTGTTGGCCCACTAAAGACTGAAGGTGGGGATATTGTCAGTGACTATGGGGAAATGGCAGACATGTTGAGTAATTACTTTGCCTCAGTATTTACAGTGGAAAAGGAGGATAGCTTGCTGAAAGTCCTGAGGAAATTGATAGTGTATTCGAGCAAGAGACTGAATAAAATTAACATAAGTAAAACATTGGTAATGGGGAAATGAAGAGAATTTAAAGATTGACAAATTCCCGGGACCTGACAGTTTTTAGTGAGGGTGTTAAAGGAAGTAGGGTAGCACATTGTAGATGCCTGAACTATAATCTTTCAGAGTTGTCTAGATACAGGAGACATCCCTCTGAAGTGGAAAATTGCACATGTCACTCCACTTTTTAAGAAGGACAAAAGAGGAAAACTAGGGAATTACAGACCAGTTAGCCCAACATCTGTGGTGGGAAGTTGTTGGAGTCTGTCAAGGATGGGGTACATGAACATGTTGAAAACTGGCAGTTGATCCGGGAGAGCCAGCATGGATTCCTAACAGATAGGTCATGCCTGACAAACCTCTTTGAAATTTTTGGAGATATGACTAACATCATGGACAGGAAAATGCTATACATATTGCGTTCAGGGACTTGCAAAAAGAATTTGATAATGTTCCACATAAAAGACTGTAAACTATGGTAGAAGCCCTTGGAATTGAGGGCAATTTACTGACATGACTGGGAAATCAGTTGTGTAGCAGGTGACAGAAAGTAAGAATAATGGGTGGGCACTCAAACTCGCAGGATGTGACCAGTGGTGTCCACCAAGGATCTGTTTTAGGGTGTTAATTATATGCATTATTTATTAACAACTTTGATAATGGCATGGAAAGTTATATATCTAAATTTGCAGATGACACAAGTTAGGTGGCATTATAGACAGTGTAGGTGACGGCATAAAATTACAAAGGGATATTCATAGACTAAGTGAATGGGCAAATTGTGCAAATGGAGCTCAGTATAAACAAGTGAGAGGTTATCTACTTTGGACCAATAAAAGAATAGCTCAGGATGTTTATTAAATGGTATTAAATTCAATACACTGAATGTCCAAAGACATCGTTATGGGGTTCAGGTGGATAGATCTTTAAAATGCTACAAACGGATGCAGAAGATAATCAAGGCAGATCATGGAATGCTGGCCTTTATATCTCAAGGACTAGAATACAAGGATGCAGAAGATATGCTGCAGTTGTACAAAACCCTGGTTAGACCCCACTCAGAGTACTGAGAGCATATCTGGGCACCACACCTTAGGAAAGATATATTGGCCTTGGAGGGAGTAGAACTAGGTTTACAAGAATGATACCTGGAATTCAGGGGTAAAGTTATGAGCAGAGATTATACAAATTTGGCTTGTTTTCTCTAGAATTTAGAAGGTTAAAGGGTGATTTGATTGAAGTCTTCAAGATATTAACAGGAAAAGACAGGGTAGATAAAGAGAAACTGTTTCCATTGGTTGGGGATTCTAGAACTAGGGGGCATAGACTGAAAATTTAGGCCAGACCGTTAGGGAAAGATGTTAGGAAGCACTTGTACACACAAAGGATGGTAGAAGCTTGGAACTCTCTTCAATAAATGGCAGTAGATGCAGAATCAGTTGTTAGTTTTAAATATGAGATAGATAAATAGGGGCTGAATGGCCTTCTCTTGTTCTCATACCATTTACCTTCTTTACAACTTGCTGCACTTACATGCTTACCTCCAGTGACTGGTGTACAAGGACACCTAGGTCTCATTGCACATTGCCTACTCTTCATTTATAGCCACTCAAATAATAATCTGCCTTTCTGTTTTTGCTCCCAAAAAGGATAATCTCACATTCATCACATAATACTGCATTTACAATGCATTTGCCAGTTCACTCAACTTGTTACATTCACATTGTTCCAATAAAGTGGCCCCCATTTTAGAAAGGACATTATTTCATGAAAGGTAGTTCAGAGAACATAGGAATTAGGAGTGGGAGAAGGCAATTCAGCCCCTTGAGCCCATTCTGCCATTTAACATGATCATGGCCAAACTTATCCTCATCTCAACCCCACTTTTCTGCCTCCTCCCCAGAGCTCTTTATCCTGCTTTTCATCAGAAACATGTCTATTTCTTACTTGAATCTGTTGATTGACACTGCCTCTGGCAGTGAGTTCCACTTATTCACAACCCTTTAAGACAAGTCGTTTCTCCTCATCTATATCTATGC